CAAAAAAAAAATGAATATTTTTTTTCTAAATTTTTGATTAATAATAATAAAATAAGTAAGTACCTATACATGAAACAAATTCTACAATGCCCAGGGGAGGACGATCGCCCCTATTTCCCCCTCTTGTTTTCGTTCTAACTTCACTCAGAATCTAAAATATCTGATATAGTGGAAATGTGCGGCCACTGTTGTAGGTGGGGAGGTAGGATACATAAAGTTATTTAATTCTTACCTACATGAACTTTAAGTTAAAAACAACGATAAACCTTTGATAACGAAAAACGATTCGGAGTGAAGTTCGGTTATACATGTTTCGAAAGGCCGTGATATTTACGAGTTTTTATTTCGAATAAAACCGGATTTGAATTTGAAGAAACGAATTTTCAAATTTATCGCCGTTTAAAAAAAAAAAATTAACGATTCTAAAGGCCGTATTTTAAACTTTTGCTGGCCACTTAAAACGTGCAAGTGAGGTATCCGTAAAAACGCTAAATAATATTAATATAACGTTTATCAAATTTATAAATATTTTATTATTTTTAAAAAACTTACATAAGGAAAATATATTAACTATCAACGACATTTATTGATATTAATCAGCAAACCATGAGTGCGGAAAAAATCCAAATGGTGATGGAGGTGATTGATGCCATTCTGCGCGACCCGTCCAAACCCTGGGACAAACTGTTCAACTGGGTGGAGACCCGGACCGGCGTGAACCGATTTAGACAGCTGCTGATCATGGTGACCGGCCTGTCATTTTTGCTCTTATTCAATTGCGGGAGAGTAGCCATGGTTATCAGTAACGCGATAGGTTTCATGTACCCGGCCTACACGACGATCGCGCTGATGGAGACGCCCCGGAATCCGGAGTCCACGGTCGAGACTACCAACAAATGGCTGGCCTATTGGCCCGCGTTCACCTCCATACTGATTGTGGAACAACACTTCGGATTCATACTCAGATTCGTGCCGTTCTACCTGCTGTCCAGAACGCTGTTCCTCGTCTGGTGTATCGCGCCCATCAAGAACAACGGCGTGGCAATACTATACGCGAAACTGACCCCATATTTAGATTTATACTTCGACTAGCCGTTTATGCATAACAAACTTCACTGCATCAAGTATGTCGGACTGAAAACAGGTGTTTGATGTTTAGCCGGTGCTGGCCAACAATGTTGCGATATTGTTTTTAACGTCTTTATGACTTATTTCATACGCCCAGGTATTTTTGATATCTTTTTTTAACTACCTTAGTACTATAGGGTTTGCCGTGTTTCAATTCCAAATAGATAATATCATTATTAAAGTCAAACAATAATTACTTTTAATTTTGCAGTTTGCCAGCAAAATATTTTATTAAAATGCTTCACGAGTTTTGGTGGGGGCTTATTTAAATAACATTAGCCTGTTATTGTTTTAATCAGTAAAATCGTCTTAATCAAGGCCGGGTAAAGAGTTTACCGGGTCTGGAGCCTAGTAGTCCAAAGGGCCTTTTGCCAATCGCTCTTAGTCCTTACAAAATGTATTACCAATAACTGAAATTTATCTCTTTAAAAAAATTAAAATATTAATTGATTGTACAAAAAATATCTTTAAAAACCTTTTTCATCTGTATTTATTTCCTTAAGTTGAGATCTCTCTATGGCCATTAATGTTAAAGCGTTCTAGAATGGATTTTTCATAGTCTACCTTCATTCGTTCTTCACTCTTTTTAAATTTTAAAATGTTCTTTCTGTGCCGTAGTTGGGAACCAAAAGACATAAATACAGTATATATGCTAATTTTACATTAGGAAAAAACTGAATTGAGTTTATTATCGTATATGATCTAAAGACATTTTTGTGCCGATGGCATTTTAATATTTCCTTCTTCAACTGGCGCATCAACTAATTTGGAAAAATGTATCATCTCTTCAAGAAAAATTTTACAATCAAGGTCATCTGGATATATTTTACCAAGATATTTTGCCATACCCACAATTCCATTGTCAGTCATCAATTTAAGATAAGTTGTCCATTATAACTGTACATGTTTTTAACTTTTCCTGCCCAAATAAAGTTGTCTCTTCGTGAATTTTTTTTTTTACTATTAAAAAAATTAGACTGGATTTTAAGCGAAATTTTTAATAATCTGTGACAACAATAATGAGAAATTTCTATACATGATACTAAATAGCCATAGAAAAAGCTGTTCTAGGATAATGGGGACGGATGCAGCCACTGTTATAGGCAATTTAATGTACATGCGTAAGGAGTCAAATAGTTCAGTTTTTGATAGTAGTTATTATACACAATTTTATTATATTAATAACAATATATAAAATATCTCAAAAAACTGATACGATTTTAAAATACTTGTTAACGACCATAGAAAAAATAAGTTTAACAACGAATAAATTAATATATACGAACAGTAAAATACAAATATTATTATAATTAGAAACATGTGCCTTGTTGATACCATTAACGTCCAGTGGCTTCCCTGGATGCCATAATATAATCATGTTTTTAGGCCAACTAGTGGGTCATACTGATAAAACGACAGTTTTTACAAAAACCCATCTTTTCACAGAAGAAATGATAAAATCGGATATTTAATATCACAATATTATTCGAGTTATTAATAAAAATGAAACCGATATGACGATTTTCAAAATGTTTAAATTGTTTTTAATATAAACTTAAATAAATCGTTTAGTATATATACCACATATTTGGCTACATTTTTAATAGAATCTAAACAAAATTTACTTTTTTAAGAGATTTATAACGAGTTAACAAGTCATTTAGATACAAGGCCAAGGGGACCAAAAGGGTTTTAAAAATTATTTTAAAATCGCATCGCTTTCTATAATGATTTTATGTTTGGTGTATAAAAACATCCGTTAGATATATCTAGAAATAAACAAAAAAAAAAAAAAACCGATACCTGAACTTAAAAATTAATATTGACATTTTACAAACTAAGACCATGAAGAAGCTTTCACTAATTTAAACAGAGATTTGAGGCGATATCAGGTTAAATTGCATAACCCCTGTCAATTCTCGTGCAACACTTTACAATACAATATGCTCACAAACTGCAAGATTCGATAAATTGTTGTTTAATTTTAATAACAATATTATCTGTTTTGAATTAAAACATGGCACGTCCTATAGTGTCTACGTGGCTAAAAAAAGATAGCCAAAAGTACCAAGGCGTAAGTTATCTTTTTCTACAAATACCGCTCATACAAACACAACCACTAATGATATGTACAGAACTGTAGACGGACTTAACTACGTGGAATGTGATATTATTCTAATACTGTTGGCCCGTACCTACATCACTATCTGTTATTGGTCCATCGTTTTCATGTTTAATGTTCATTTTTATATTTGTGGGTCGGGTTGCATAGACGTTCTTTAGTGACTTATAAACTTATTGGCACTTTACAGATAACATTAGAACGTTCAATAATATTAGCGGCTCTGTGATTTATCGCTTACCCGTAACTTTCCGGTCCAATATTTTTGTGGTTTGAAATTTTATTTTATTTTATATATTATTTTATAATAAAAATTTTATTTTAACACAATATTTTTGTGGTTTTTCGGTTAACATTATAAAGATATAAAAAGACGATTTATTATTAAGAATCAACAAAATGAATTTTGATCACAAGACATTTTGTATAACAAAAATTTGACAGTTATATATAGACATTAATATAGATTATAGGACTTAAAAATCCAAATATGTATGAAATAATCAAATAAGAGGTGTTTTTTTTTTATATATATATATATATATAAATTAAAAGCTACCCGTGCAATAAAAAAGTTAATAAATAAAGATTACTATGGTTATCAATTCGCAATAACATTAGTTTAACATTTTTCTAAATGACTTATGAAACAATTCATAACTATTATTTATTTTATTTATATTTAATAGAATTTTACTAATAAAAAACAAATGTATTTTTACTTTTTAAATTTTGCTGTAATCACTTATCACTATTGATGTTACCACAAGTCATAATTTTGTAATCATTGTAATCACAAGTAATCATTGCGGTAATTTATATTAACTTCAGGCACACCCAAAACCACCTAATGGCCTATCCATGTATACAAGGTGTTCCACGAAGATATATATCTATTGTAATTTTTGGTTTGGCAATCCCAAACTTAAATTGAAGATTGTTAACTGTGATTTAATTATTGAAAAAATAAAATAAATATATTATACAAAACTATAGCTTATTGTACATATTATAAAACATGAAAACGCAAACAGAAAAAGTACCTGTATAATATGTAAGTTATAAACTGCCTAATTTATTGTCAGTCGCTGATTGAGATAATAGTTGCCTTCTATTCTAAAAACTCGATCACCAAATGCATAACCTAATGTGCTGCAGTACAATGTTATAGGCTGGCTTTTTATATTGAATATAAGTACCTTTTATTACGTCCTTTCAAAAATGTAACTCGTTTTTCGTAACTAAGGATTAATCAATGAGCACAGATATACATTAAATTCTCCTCAATATACTACCTTACCAACTTCTCGTCTAAAACAGTGGCCCACCCAAAGTATGTTGGTATTTTTTTAAAAAATTAAAAAAAAAACCATCGGTAAAACTTATTGGCTCAATCAGAAAAAAAAATATCTGGTACCTACAGACGATGAATAGGCCACTACCAGATGTCCGTGGCGTTAAACATATTNAGAAATTAAAAAAAAAACCATCGGTAAAACTTATTGGCTCAATCAGAAAAAAAATATCTGATACCTACAGACGATGAATAGGCCACTACCAGATGTCCGTGGCGTTAAACATATTTACGATCGATCTTAAAACGAATTATGCGGGTATCAAATTCAACACTTCTTATCAGAGGGAAAAATAATAGGTAAAAACGTTTTTTTAAGTCAAAAAAATGTAGTATTTAGAGTTAAATTTAATAATTTAAAATTATAACTCTCCGGCGACTTTCGTTAATGCCACCTTTGGCTAATTGCATAATGTGTCTTAATGAGAACAATTGTTAAACATAATGTGACATAAAAAGACGAGATCATTTGAGAAGCCGAGGGAGCCGAACCAAAACCCGGATAATTATTTACTCCCAAACGACCGCATTGTTCGACAATTTCCCATTCACGACCCCCTCGATTGCCCGCGGAAATCCGGTCGGTGTAACGTGTCGCACACGACAACAGCAGTGAAACATTGCCATCCCGTGATATCGATTCCACCGCAATAATACACTGTACTCGCAGACCCCGTCGTCTCGAATTTAAAAGCGAACGCCGTGCGATATTGTAACTCGTTGTTATTGCCGTTGAACCGCTTCGGCCGCCACGTTTTGATTAAATTGCACGCAAATATGCGTAACACTATCCGCGCGCCGCGCGTAATATTATTACGCGCGATATTCGAACGACTCGGGTTTGTCGTTTGAAATGTCCGACGTCCCCGCGCACACGAAACGATGTTATACGCGTCCTGTCACCGTAACATCTCAACATTCGGAAACGTCGCGTATCCGGACTGTGTTTCGCATAACCCGGCGCGTCGTGCATTGCGTTCTACGAAAAATCGGACGGCACAAAACGAACGATAAATGGGCACTTAATTTAATGCTCCGTAATAAAGTAAAATGGCATTGTGTATGTATTGTGCGTAACGCAAAACGCTGTGAACCTCGATGGACATAATAATAGCTTATTTGTTTTTTTTTTTTTTTTGATTTTAGATTTTGGACGAAACGAGAAACGTTATAGTTTTTTTTTTTTCTATAACGCGGGAACAACACCCAGGATTCTTCAATAGGGAGATGGACAGGAGGCGTAAAATATGAAATTAAATCTGTATAGGTAATAATTCAAACAAAATACATATAATACATTTATTATAAACCCCCCCCCCTTTTTTCAGATTATGGTGAGAAATGGATTATTGTATACCTACTTCATACAATCGTTTGTATTTAGTTGAGTAAACAGTTCAAACCATTGCTAACGAAAAAACGATTCCGAGCGGAGCTCAATCGATCGTGTTGCTATATCAATATGTATATCGTAGTATGGTAAAATAATTACACGTGTATTTTATACATTTTCTTTAATATTATGTGTTTGATATTGTACCTATTTTTCCGTTCTCTCGGTTTTCCCATTTCATAGTTCCATCTCCTACGAAAACGGCAGTCGGTGTATCGCGATATGAACACCGTAAACACAGATTTGAAAATAGATAGCAATCAGAGAAATCCCCCATGAAAAAACAAGCAACTTGAGTCACGTCATTCTAAAATTAAATTTACCGCCGGAGACAGAAGTAGATTGAGTTACTTCTTTTTTCTTTGGAATATATTTCTCATCTGGGAAACAACTCCGTGAAAAACAATATCATATTCCAGCCTAATAATTTTATTAGGGCCCGGGTTTAAATTCACTAAAAATCATCGAATACTGATAGTGTAACCGTATAGTATGAAATTAATGCACACATGCTCTGAGCTATTTTCGGAACTGGCCATAACGGCGGACGACGCGCAACGGTCGTAAACTCGTAAAACAAACGAAAAAAAAAAACAATAAAAACAGTAACACCGAGTAAATGGTTAAGTAGATGACAAATGCAAGTGATTGATTGTGTGTCTAAATTGAATCACTTGCATTTTGTGTTTTTCAAACGACTAATACAGAAAGGGCAGGCTATCCTTTAAATTATCGGAAGCTTTTGTACACACGTTCCATCCTCGAAGATATCCATTCGTTAATTAATCGGGTTGGGTTATTCACCCTTGTTTTTTCCCGTGATTAGGATGATTCATAACTTACCAAGTCGATTTCGGTGAAATCCGTACCTGTATAAAGTTGGCTGACCTACAGCAGATAATAGTCGACTAACGTTTTACCGAATTAAATTACGTATACAGTTCACTTGTCATTCGTAATCGATTTCATTACACGTAAAAGTCGTAGGTCCGGCTCAAGGGTTAGGCGACACAGGCCCACGTCTAGGGCAGCATTTTTCATGGGTGGCATTTAAAATTGTTGACGTAATATTTATATGTATATGGGGCGGCAAAACTTAAGTTTGCCTAGGCGTGTTCAAATGCTCGAGCCGAGTCTTATAGTCGGGTCCTCGTGCAGGTAGGTATTGTAAATCGTGAAGACAATGTTAACGATGTCCCCAAAGACCCAGAATCTTTATCGCTTTGCAAACCAATAAAAGTACAACAATCTGAAAAACTGCAAACAACCGTGAAGTAAACGATTCCACGAGTTATTATTATTGCATCCACTACTCCTCGTTTCAATATTTTAGTCAGCCAAACATTCATGCGCAGTTTTATTATCAACTTCATACAATAGATGGCGCTACGGGATCCAAATAAAACCAAATACTCGTCAAAATTTAGCTAAAATAGATGTCACAGCAACATTTACCATATCTGTTTATTTAACGGACAATGTAAAAAAAGAGCTGATACTCAGGATGTGTGCTGCCACTGTTGTAGGCGGGTAGTGAAGAAGGTGGGATACATAAAACTATTTCATTTAGTCTTGGGGGGGGAGGGTAGAAAATACAGCGGTTTCAAAAGATTAAATCAGTGTAGTGTGCGTTGAAGTTCCTATCAGTCGTTTACAGTTTTACGGTTCTGTGAACTTAACACGTAATAGCTGCACGTTTATAGGTAAATAGGTCCCTAATATAATCACACCGACCCCGTACTTTTATCAGAGAGAGATTTTTCAATTTAAAAACGATTTCAATCCATAAAAAAAATTCTCTTTAAAATTATGAAACAACTTTTATATTTTTCAAAAAGTAAAACTACATTACAATAAGTGCACGGGTCGTTTTTAATATAATTAATGTTTTTTTTTTTTTTTTTTAACATTTAGTTTATTGCGTTTCGTAAACTATAAACTAGCCTCGCGCAGGTACCTACGCGAAAAGCGTATGTTTGAATAGCGTTAAAAAAAAATGGCACATATAAAACAGCGTTTTTTAAGTTTCAAAATAAATGTCGATTTTTTAACAGTGGATATAAGTGCTTGTGTGTGTGTTTTTTTTATTGAAAATACTGTACCCACGGTCGCATTAAATATGCTGAACATTTTGTATTAAACGACAGGAACATAAAGAAAGAGTTTTTTCGTTCAATTCTCAGAAAAATCGACCGAATATTTAATGAAGCGTTAAAACTATAGTTGTGAACTTAACTTGAAATTTTGTTTTAAGCGTTTTTTATTACTATCGTGTTGGTCGTTTATAAAAAAAAAAAAAAAAAAAACCTTATACAATATTATAGCTTTTGGCCAAATATTTGCTTTCGTCCACAAAAAACTTTAGTGGCCAAAACTAAAAGTAAACATAACTTTTCCCATTTTAACATTATTAATTAGTGTTTTAGATTTTGAGCGTACAAATCGTTAAATTTTAAAACTTGATAACTGAACTTCACTCAGAATCATTTTCCCTCAACAATAGTTTATCGTTGAGTAGAGATATAAGTTAAATTATTCTATAATACATATCGTGCAATTTCGATTTCCGTCCAAAACCAGTAACTAGTAGTATGTGTACGGAGGGGGTCGTTAGTAGTTATCCCCCCCCCCCGCTACTCATCCGCTAAAATATAACAACCATTACTGGTAATGGTTGTTAATAATAACTGTTGTAGGTGGACAGTTGGAAAGGCAGGATACAGACGGAAATTGAATGTATATTTGTAAGCAACCATTCAAACGAAAAAGCTATTCTGAGCGGAGTTCAATTGATAAAGTTGCTTTATCAAAAATATATATGTCATAGTATGGTAAAATAATAACATATGCATTAAATATTTTCTTTAATATTATTTGTTTAATATTGTATCTATTTTCCCGTTTTCCAGGTTTTCCCGTGTTTTTCTTGGGTTTCCCATTTATTGGAAAAATCAAAAATGACCTCTCTAAAGTACTTCCCCGGTCAAATTTCCTTTCAGAAAAGTGTTACATTTGTAAATCAATGAAATATTTCTGGTAAGAAGAGTTGTTCGTAGATAAAAAAAAATAAACATCATTGTAAAACCAATACATTCCTTACTCCACTCAGAATCTTAAACACTGAAGTACATTTCCAAGACAGACTTTACGACAGGCTTTTTAATATTATAAAGAAAAAATACAATTATTATTAATTTTGTCATGAGCTTATTTTTGTTTTAATCAATCTGAAATTCTGCGTCACGATTTCAATTTATATAATATAATATGTAGTACACAACGATAAAACGATAAAAAAAAATAAAAATGATTCGATGAAAAATTGTTTTTTTTTTTCTAAATTCAAATTGAACTTTATATTATCAAATACCGAAAATAATTTTGCTGTCACCAAACAATACAGTTTACTTCAGTTACTAGATATACTATACAACTTTACTATGATTATTTTCCAGTTTTTAGGAACTACGGTTTTTTTTTTGTTTTACGCCATGAGTGAATATACAACTGATTGTTTGAGATACCTTCTCAAACAAATGTATAGCAAAAGTGCTTTATGATCGTATATTTTGTATTATCATGTCAAGTAGATACACAATATTAAAATTGTACAGTTTATATATATAGTTACACTTTAATTCTAATAGGAATGCATATTTCTCGGAATAAAAAATTACGAGCCCTGACATCAATCAATTAATCTATACAACAAAGTCGTATACGGTTTACTAATTTATGTTACATAGTATTATTATTATTATAAATAGCGATTAAGTGATAAGAATTTATAAGATGTTTTCATATATTTGTATCAGACGCGTTCCTTACGTCAGCGGTGTCGCAGTCGTATCGTTCGAAACACCACGTTTCCCAATTGTCCGGAGCCTCTGATTTTCGATAAATTTCGTCACTAACGTTGTCGTAAGTTCTGATGTACGATTCTAGTTTTTCGTTTGGAATCAATTTCGACACTCGGTGTAACACCCTGAAATAGAACAAACCATTATTATCTCAGGTATGTTCAAATAAAGACACATAACAAGTTATTATATATATATATGTTTTAATAAATCTCGTAGTTTGATTGCTTTGCATCTATTTGCCATCATCCTCGTCATCGCCGTCACCTTATAAATCATTATTAAGACCATTTAGCCATCTTAATCATCTCCATTCTTAAATTTTGTCCAGCAATAACAACTTTTAGAACTCCTGAATTTATTTAAACACTAGATAATATTATTAGGCTTCATAATCATCCGTTTTTAAGAGCTCAGCTCGTCAATTTTTTTTTTACTACACCCATCATCGTAACGATATTTTATGTGACTTGTCACATATTTATATGTTCTCCTTCCCACTCGCTAAAATCTTGTTAAAATGTATTTCATTTCCTTCGTAATATCTGTAATATCACTCTTATTTACCCGATTAAAATCCACACATCTCCAGTATAACTGAGTATTTTTCAATATTTGTAGAAATGTTGCTGGTTTTAAAACCTATCCATTTCATAATTGTATAGGTCGTTGTCAATAATTTAAATGTATGAATTTAGTTAGATAAAAAAAAGCGGTATAACTTGTCGAGTCTCTGAAATATGTTCACGAGTAAGAAAAAAAAAATTGCATACTCACCAGTTGACCCAGGCCGGCAGTATACCGGCCTTCTCCACTACAGCCATTCTGCACGCGATTCTCTCTAAGCATTTCTCCGAGTCCAGAACTTTTTGGAAAATATTGAATGTGGGGTCGGACAGTTCCAGAGTCTCCAAACGGCGCCTGTCCTCCAAACCTATATCGACGCGTTTCTGCAGGTTGGTGGAAGATGGTGAGCCGCTGCTGCTGCTTTTGGCGGACGTGATGCTCGGTAGTATGGTGGGATCGGCCGACGAATATTTAGTGGCCGCAGTGGCGGACGCGGGAGCGTAAACCGGACCGGTCAGGTAGTCGATTATCCGGGACGGGATCGAGAGGAGTCCGCCGACCAGCATGGGAGAGGCCAGCGATGACATGATCGGCAACACCGCCATTAACACCAGCGGTATCATGAGCAGTTTGAAGAACTTCATCAGTTTGAGTACGAGCAAAAACTTGAAAAACATCGCAATCAGAAACAGTTTGAGCTTGAACACCAACAGGAACAATATCTTGAGGAAGCTGAACGCTTTCAGCTTGGCCATGCCGACTTTGAACAACGCCAGTATGCCGAGTTTCTGCCAGTCGATCTTATCGTAGATCATCTGGATGTGTTGTAGCGGGCTGTGTATGTTGAACTGTCCCACCGGGCTACTGGTTGGTTGGAACGCCATACCTGGGTGCGGGTATTGCATGCCGGACGGCGGATAAATGTACGGGGTTCTGGGTTTGTATCCGGGCACGGGGACGTGGCCGCTCGGTGGGTACGGCGCGGCCATACCGTACGGTGGTTGTCCCATTCCACCTCCCGGAGGCACCGGTGGCGCCGGATAACCGTGCCCCGGCCTTCCAGCCGCGTTCCAGTCGCTGGGACTCTCGGGCGCGGGCTTGTAGCCGCCACCCACCGTACCGTACGTCAAGTCGTAGGAATTGTGATAACTGGCCGACCCGTCTTCTTCCGCTACTGATATATCCGCGTCAATGGTCGAGTAGTCTTTGCTGTCCCCCTGTCTGTAATAAGGCCTGCGGACAGATCAAACGGATTAGGCACGCAATCGGTTATTGCGACACGGAAGGTCGGGTAGTTAAGTGGGATAGACGCACACGGAAGCCGGGAAAGTGTTACCTATAATCGCCATGTTACTATTATTGCGCCGACAAAACGACTGCACTGTTCAATATTAAACAAAATTACGTTTTCAGGACCAGCGGACTTTTTTTTGAAATTTAAGAAATCTCTATCTTATCGCGGCCCGCGTCTTCCAAAATGAACCTACGTACTCGTACAACAATTGAATTATTTTGACACCGTTCTTTTTTTTCGCCTATAGATGTATGTTATTTTGGCCGTAAATTATTATTACGAATAGACGCTCGATTTTTTTTTTTTCTTTCGATTATGATTTTCACCGATATGATTGCAATGTTATACGAGTACGAGCAGTTAACATTGCTGTGCGTTTGTGTACGTATACATATCATGTTTCAACGCAGTCCGAACAACAATTGTTCTAGTTGAACACAATAGTACACAAAAGTAAAACGGGCTGTCCACCAAATCATCACGGGCACCGGACATAATGGGGCATACTATTCTGTTGATCACGTTCGTTTACAAAAAGTATCCGGAAATCTACGGGTTTATAGATTATTTGTGCTGTTCGGCTGCGGGTAATTAAACACCTATATTTATATTTATTCGGGTTCGTTATTTAAATGTTATGGGCCATTTATTTTTAAAACACACCCGACATGTTTTGATATTACGAGGCGCACCCGCCTAATAACATCATAGAGTGCGTACCTGTTTACGTTGTACACTCCCGCGTCCACGATTATGTTGGCCCGGTGTTGGGTGCTGTCGTCGGTGTCGTCCTCTTCGGTGTCGTCGACGTCGTCGCGGGCGATCAGGCCGTTCAGCGGATGGTTGGCCGAGCGCTGCTCTTGTCTCGTGATGAACTTGCCCCGGACGACAACCGGCGTGGCCCCTGCCATTCTAGGCGCGTGGTGTCCGACCGGGCCGCCGCCGTCCAGAGACCGGCTAGTGGCCTGAACCGGCTGGACCGCGCGTTCGGTGTCCGTCCCGTTGACAGAAGCGGTCGCGTTCGGCGTCGGCTCGGTGACGGCTTCCAGGGCGGCGACGGTGGTGGTCAACGGTTTGGGCGTGTGGTAAACGCCGTGCACCGGAACCGCAACCGGTGTTTTGGCCATCGCCTGACCGGACCGGATGCACAGCAGCGTCACGGCCACGGTCACTATGACTATGGCCAGCAACTTGACGACGTTCATGGTGGCGGACGTCGGATGGCTTCGTTCGGCCGTCGTGGTTTGTGGCGTGGCCACCGTGTTCAGGCCTGCAAACAGCGTCCGGCGATAATACGATATTGCGTTAAATTATATTGTACAAAACACCCGAATCAGAAAAAAAAAAAAAAATTCAAAGAGCGATATTGATTATCTAATAAATACAAAAAGTACGAATTTAGTAATGAACATTTCGTACCAGGAGATCAAAATCAAACGGTCGTCTATTTGAGATCGGGTGGACACCAAGTCGTGCGTGACCATTGTTTGACATACGGCCGACGGGCCGGCCTTAACATTCACCAGTTAAATGCTCAGTTTTTTACTTGAGTTATTATTATTTATTTTTTTTTTTTTCCGGTTGCGTATTGAATTTAATTGATATTTTATAAAAGTCACTTTTTATACATGGTTCTTTTCGGGACAACGGAGTACTGTTAAAAATTCCCCTCTAGGAAATCAAAATCGGACGGTAGTCCGGTGAGATCGGACCTGGACGTGTGTGCCGATTGACAGACTATTGACGGCCCATTCGCCTCTGGGGAAACGGGTCAAAATCTCGACAGTCAAAATCCCGACGGAATCGGACACCGGCAGACAATATCATCAAATTAATTTCCCGCCGTATTATACTACACGTTCGGGTAACGAGTATTAGGTCTGATTATCCAAGCTAATGTAAATGCGAATTCTCGACGAAATTTTGTGAAATCTAAACGAAATGTATGTAATTGCTCAGTTTTACGACAAAACCGAACTCCGCCGTAATTTGTTGTTTTGACCGTGTCGTCGCGAAGACGCGTATGTAACGTCACGTAAATACAGTAACGGACAGGTTTCGTTTTTTTTTTTTACGCGAGTGACGTCGTCTTCCGTACCGTCGACACAGTCTGCGGCGTCGGAAATTATTGTTACCGACGAAAACCGAAAACCGTTCGATTAAAACGACGTAATAATAATAATGATAATATGATAACAAATATTGACGAATTTTCAAAGTGCCCGCCGCCGTCACGGGTTCACGCGTTTCGCGTTCCTATACATACGATAAGACGAAGTTGTATATTGTTTTCCGTATAAACGCCCGAGATAAAAAAAAAAACGAAAAGCAATAAATTAATTATTCTTGTATATGATTTGAAATAATACGAAAATAGAAGTAATAGAATACATTATAGTATTATTAAGTTAGGTTATACTATAATTCGTAACCAACGAATGCGTCAACAGTTTTCTACGAAATGTGACGACTCCGTCATAGAGCACGTTGATATATCACTAAAGTCCGAACTGTTATACGTTTTGGGAGCGTTCAGCATTATCGTCAAATGTTTGTATCGATATTGAATGATGTCGTTCCAGCCTATGGTTGTTTAACAACAAAAAATCTACATCGAATCTTCTTTAATGATCGTCGCTCAACAACAATAATATTATATTATGTACCATTTTTTATTTATTTATTTTTTCTTAGATTTGCCATCGTAGTCTGGTCACGATCAATTTTAAAATTGCACAGCCGCCAATTTCACAGACGTGTTTAATTTTTATATGATTTCAAATAATAAGACGATTTTTTATATACATTTTCAACTATACGTTGATAATAAGGGTCACATCCTATTCAATAATAACTGAGTAGTGCGATAAATGCACGAGTACAACCAACAATACAACAGAACGTACACTCAAAGCTTTGGAAAAGTGAATTTGGCAGGCGGTTTAGGGCTAAAAGTTTTGAAAATAGTTCTGAAAAGCGGACAAGGATATTCAATAAGGTATTATAAGAAGGAATAAGAATGGCCACAGTCTGTCAAACTTCACAATGGTTACGTGAACGAAATGCGCTGAAATTATGAAAATACCATTATAGCGGTTATGAACTGGAAACCGTGAACAATTGTAGAGGTCCAGGAAAAAGTATTTGCGCGTAGTCTAAAAGGTTTTGGAAAATTCAGCAGTGTGCGATAGGAGAAATATTGTTTAAGACCGGCAGGATCGGAACAAATGGAGGAAAGTAGCGTTGTCGTCGAATACTCTTAAAAAGTTTTAAATGTCGGATAGGAAAAATAACCGTACGATCGTTTTGTTTTCAGTTCGACATAAATAATAAACGCATTAGTCGTTCTAACTTAAAGCCGCGTACATATTTCAATTTATCGGCCTGCATCGAGCTCGAATAGAGTTTAAATATTTCGGATTTGATAGCTTCGAACGACGCGACAACGACACCGTATACAAGTAATAAATTGTTTGAAATATCGTTCGGCGGTCCGGGTGACTGGCGCGTCGTGTACGCGGTTAACAGATCTAAGCGGGAGGCATCGTCCGCACTCGTTGTCATCATCGGTGAATTTATCATTCGGTAATGATATAAATGACGTGGCGCTCCGAACGGCATTTTCCAGCGTAAAAATTACGGGTATTCGTTCCGAAATGCTGTGGCGATCGTATACTTGTATAATACGAATGCACATCGTTATCAGCTACTCAAGCGAAACAGGCGGAATTATCGCGCATTGTCGTGCCAGCCATGTTTTAATTAAAAGCGAAACCTACGTGCGCTCCTATAAAATACCCCGTTTGTACAACCAAAGCAAATTAAATCTGGGGTACACGGTATAGGGAAAATTGATAATTTTCTTTTGGCGTCTGGAAGAGGATTATTTAGGATAAACTGATCGAGAACGTCGTCTCCTTGTTTTATATTTTGCACAATAGTTTATATTAACGAGTGGAATTCTTATATCGTTATTATATTATCATGCCTTCGTAATACCGGGCAATATTTCATAAAGTTAATTAAACATCTATGCAATTTATTAAAAACCTCGCATCCCGTAGCCGTGTAGCTATATATAAATCATTATGTCGAACCTTTCGTTTTTCGTATCGGTCTTACCAATTTAATAACATCATTAAACTATCCTATAACGAGTTTATTAATCGGACAAAAAAATAACAGAAATTAAAATATTTGTTTAAAATCTTCGCAGATTCGTTTTAAAACAATCACTCCTTACACCGTGACATTCGGATGTTTCGAGTAATTATTACAAAGAAACATTTTAATACGAAGTTATTACGGTGTATTTCACTCGAAATGGCGAAATACGAAAATTTCAGCCGGATGAGGATTCTTAAAAAGTTGCGGGTTACCAATTATTAATTTTATATTATATATTTTTAATATCCGAAATCGCCTGCTTTATAGCCATCGAAAGTTGACCCGACAATGAGAATCCAAAGAAGCCATGTCGTTTTAAATAAATAAACCTTTTTGCTTTGTTGAACTTGGGCTGAAATGTATAATTTTGAGATGAGATTATTTTATCTTTATCGATCTTTCGGAGTTGAATTCCGAAAATCCGACTCCTAGGCGCACACGGGGGACCCGTTCGTCCGCTTATTTTTGTGTACATTTTCCGGCCTCTGTGCGCGATAGATTCGGCTGTGGATCGCGCACAGACAAACAAACCAACAAACAAACAGACTGGATTCGTTTTAATAATATATTGTCATTACGCCTTAGGTCAATAAAACGTTTGGCTTTGTCTCTGACCGATGTGGCTCATTTTTTTTTATAAATAATACGATATATATATATGTATTGTAGTAATACCGAAATGGCGATCAAATATACCGCGTATGTACTCGCTTATATCGTGGAACGGTCGGGAAACACTCTAAAGTATTTTCTTTTGTGAGCGCGCACACGAATGTGTGTATAAGAAAAATATAAATATTATCGCAGGATGGCGCATCGTATTGTTCGACCGCGGTACGCGGCGGCTTGGAAAAAAAAAAAATAATAAATACAAAACACATTGCATTTTCACGAACACGAAGACTGTCCAACAATAATAGGCACGTCCGAATTATATAAGTCGAATAAAAAAAAAAAAACAACAGCTGCGCGACGCCGCTCGAGTTTTCGTGTTGTGTGTCGACGGTCGAACTGCCCGTCCTCACGTTACATTATTATTATTAGACGTGCAAATAACTCGGTCACGCGATGAGTTTACACAAAGATTGTATGGATGTTTTCTCAGACTTTTGGCAGAAATCGCATTTGTAAAAAAAAAAAAAAATAAAGAAGGATATATTATGGAGTGATAATTGCCCAATATATCATACCTTTCAAGTTAAATTATTTAGTTTATAAAAATACATATTGGTCCGTAAATCCGCCACTCTTCGCAATCCGCGGCGACTTCCTGTAGCTCCTTGTTGTATTCCTGATTCTCTATATCCAATACAATTTGTTTCATAAATGATTGCCGCGGCCTTCCTCTCGCCGGTTTCCCCTCGATTTTCCCTTTTATATCGTACAGAGATACGTGACGATAAATCGTTGCCGTAACGAAAAACTATTCCGAATGAAATTCGGCTAAACGTAATTCGAGTCTTAAACTTAAACTGACAATTGTATTTAGTTTGCAAATACTATTAATTAATATCAATTGTCTGCGTTTTTCGTTTCAATATTTTTAGCATTTTTATGAAATTTAGAAAATATTTTATACGCATTAATCGGAAAACATACGAATGTCGCGTAATTCAGTAAGATTTTTCGAACTTTAAACGTTTACAAAAATATCGTGACTATGGATTTTCGATAATTTTATAGTGCTATAAGAAAGAATTAAGACGAACCTTGAATCAGATTTTCGAGCATTTTCAGGAAACCAAAATAAATTATCCTCACAAAATCAAATAAAAACTAAAATTTTTGCGGTCGTCACGCGCCTTACGGTCGTTTTTTTTTATTAAAACTATTCAAACTATTTTCTCAGTATCAGGAATTTCGTGTTAAACGTTAACATGATTATTGTGGAATGAGGGGGTCGAGGATAAAAACGAAAATCGAAATTCCCGAAATTCGATGAATCGCTATAAATGAATAGCGCCGTATTACCGCCTGTCGATTAGCTATTGCCAATACTCCCAAACGTGGAACGCTTCAAATAAAGAAAAACGGTCAA